CCTATATGTTGCTGCCTGGTTGTCTGCGTAGACGTGGATCTCTTGGTCTCTTCTAGCGTTTCTAGCAGCTTGCACTGGCCTCAGGTGCTCGGCCAGCGCTGTGATTTGGCCCTGGGCCCACGCGGGGTCGTGGCCGGAGCCTCCATAGACGCCGTGGAGCCGGATGCATCGGACGCCCAGGAGATGCATGCGCTCCATCTGGCCATGGGTCAAGCCCGAAAGCGGCGTGCTGGCGTCGGCGAGGATGGTGCCGCGGACCAGGCCCGACAAGAGCTTCGGACGTTTGCCGCAGTCTTCGAGGCTCGCCAACAGGCCATGCCACGACGCCTCAATCGACGCCTGGACAATCATGACATTGGTGGTGAGCAGCTGCTGGAGAAGCACGTCGAGGGGTGCGCGTCGCGGCGTGTAGGCCCGCCGTGTCTTGAAGGGGAATCTGTCGGGCTCAAAACAGTGAACATGGCAGTCCCAGGTGCCGCCGGTGGGTGGGGGCATCGCCATAGCACGAGAGCAGGGATATTGTGCAGAGAAAGTGCCTGTTTCCGAGCCTGTTGCGAATTAGGATACATGCCTTTTTGTTGTTTTCTTTGCGAGTTATAAACAAGTTTGTAGGGCATGACGTTTACATAAGCTACAGACAGGCAAATGTCGTTGCTATCTGCATCTCCATCAGACGCTGACGCTCCATTCATGACGCTAGTGCTAGCGCAGCGCTAGTGACCCCCGGGAAGCTTCCGGGCCAATCACAGGCGATTACAAAGCATTGTCAGTGCGAACGCGTGGCGATGCAGGCCCTCGACGCGCTATGATTGGCCCGCAAGCTTACGCGAGCTCCCAGCGCCGCTCTAGTGCCGCTCTAGCGCCGTGCTCATAGCTACAGCCGTGCTCATTGCAGCTTTAGCTGCATATTAAAATCAGTCACGTGTGTTAGCTGAGTCATCGTTTTCCCATAGGGGCTCAAAATGCAGAACTTCGTCGGCAGAATTAATTCTTATTAGTCCTAAGAAGCTCTACTGTCATTTATTAAATACGTGCCAAGATGTTAGGAATCTCTGTTTTTAGGTTAGTTCCGCCAAGCTCTCATCACATAACGAACACCAAAACAGCCAGAACGCCAAAACAGCCAGAAAAGCCAGAAAAGCCAGAAAAGCCAGAGAAGCCAGAGAAGCCGGAGAAGCCTGAAAAGCCAGAAAAGCCGGAGAAGCCGGAGAAGCCAGAAAAGCCGGAGAAGCCAGAAAAGCCAGAAAAGCCAGAAAAGCCAGAACGTTAGTACTTACAGCCAGAACAGCCAGAAAAGCCAGAAAAGCCGGAGAATCCAGAGTAGCCAGAGAAGCCAGAAAAGCTAGCAAAGCAAGAGAAGCTAGAGAAGCTACGTATAACTAATATTATAAACTATAAAAAAATATAATATATATAAGCTCCGCAGGACCCTAAATAACTTAGCAACATTTAAAAAGCTGCTAAAGCTGCACCCCTTCTCAGCTCCGTTACGGGCTGTAGCAATGTTTATAGCTACAGCCGTGCTCATAGCTACAGCCGTACTCATGGCTGCAGCAGACAGAGTCTGAGACCATGTGACTGTCGGGCAACCTGTTCTTCGCCCGTATGCTGCCAAGCGGCGACATCTTGGACAGAACACAGCACAAGCTGTAGAGCAAAGCACTGCCAAACTGAACCCTCTACCCAACCATGGCTGCACTTCCAACCCAGTTCTGCCATTTGCTTTTCCTCCAGTCTCTCTTCTCCCCGTCTTTTCTCCGTCGCCGTGTCACGGAGTCCACTTTGCTCCACCCAATGGCAGAGCTTACACGAGCTTGGTCATGACTCACTGCCTAGTGAATAGGCACTCTGTGCCTTCAACCTCTACCAAGCACCACTGGCCGACGCCTTGACTTGGCGTCCATTTTGCTACCACTACCATGACCAACATGTCCCAAGCAAACAACAACGTCGTCCTTCTTCTTCAATCTTGGGACCATCCCGACAGTGTCTACCTTCGCGCTCAACAGCGTGCCGAGATACTCTCTCTTGGCAGCGATGATCCAGGCACTCCTCCCACTGCCGACAACGTCCCCATCTTTCTTGTCGCCTATCTTTCTGGTATTCCAGTCGGCTGTGGTGGCCTTCGACCATTGCACCACCCATCCGTTCCGGCGTACAGCAATATCGCCGAAATCAAGAGGATGTTTGTCCATCCAGCACATCGACGAGACAGAGGCAATGGCTCATCCATCGCCCAACGCATACTTGGCCAACTCGAAGCAGAAGCGAGAGGAAGAGGATGATCTGTCTTGGTATTGGAGACCGGAGACTTCTTGGTAAAGGCAAGACGCTTCTACGAAAAATGCGGATTCGTCCAACGAGAGAAATTCGGGAGCTATGTTGATGCGCCCAATGGTGTCTTTTATGAGAAGTCGATTGCCTAAGCTCAAAAGTCTCGTTGACGTATTTGATCAGAGTACCTAGTTACAGTGAAATACTCTTACTCCCATCTACATAGTCATCCAGCTAGTTTCTTGAACACGCTCACTTTCAATAGTGGTCCGAACAAGTCTCGGGGCCGGTGCTGGTCCCTGCTGACCTTTCGTGTGGCAAGTTGTGCTTTAACAAAGTACCTTGTAGACCGTGTCTTGCTTGAGGTAGCAATCACGTACTTTTTATCTTTGAAGATTATGGCTACAACACTGCCCGTAAGGTGCTCCACGTACTGCTGCGCCAGACCATCTCCCTGAACTCACCACATATAATCATGATTTTTATTGTTGTGAAAGTCCTAACTCCAAATGACACGCTTGCTTCAGGTGGGATGCGTAGGAAACCTAGATGCGCAGGAATTATGCATCCCAGCTCAGGTATCACGTGTTTTCTGCACTTTATGGATTTTGGCAAGGTGTTTGAAAGCCCTATGTATTCGGAATCCATATGCGATTTTAGGTAAAACGCACTCATCGTTGTTGAGGAGAACATAGAGGTCTCGGCCAAGACCATAAAGAGCGGTATCTTCAAGAGGGACAATGATCGGAGAAGTGTAGATGCCCAAGTCTGCTCAATACTGTTCGGCTTCGTCGCCGCTTATATCGGTAGGAGTCGTATATCTGGAAAAGTTGAAGTGAAAGTTGGACATCGAGCTGCCTGGTTCAAAGTCATTGCTTCGAGAAGCACGAATTGTGTGGTCAATACGCCCCCCAGGGCGCCTATTCTTTGTTTGCAGAGGTCTTCTTATTTATAGTGCCTCCATACGCGTTGGTGTTGAAATTGAACTGTCAATAGGTAGAAGATTGCGGCTTGAGGACTAGCAAGCCGCTATACTTATCAAAGCGATCTATCTTATCTACACGCTATCTAAATATCTTGTCATCTTTTTTATCTGTCTGAGTGCACTGGAGACCCAGGTGTAGCTTCAATAGGTTCTACTCAGGGTGATCACTAGGTGGTCATGGTGAAAAGCTAGAATTTTGGCGATATTGACTGGTGGCCCATCTACCACATGTATCTCCAAGCATTGATGGTCATGGTCGGGAAGTTTATATGAACATCGCATTTTATCCAATAATAAATGAAAATTGTTACAATGGACTTGATAGCGAGTGAAAAGAGAAGTAATGCCACCGGTAAAATTGCTGTGATGGATGCAATATCCGTAAAATATGACATTTTTTTTACATTCATATAATATATTAATCAGCCTCAGTTGAGATTGGTGTGTATTGACTATGCCGTACTACACTCACATCAACACCCTTCTAACTCTTCGACGATCCCACAACAACTGCCCACTGATCCGGCCTTTTTATCTCTTCAAAGAGGGTCTCTCTGTCCGGCTCGTAATCCAAAACTGTCCAACTCAATACGCAACTGCCCTCTTGAATGAACTTATAATTACTGTGTGATGCTTGATGAAAAAGCCTACAACACAGCTCAGAGGGGTCGGAAAAAGTAAGATGTCCTTCCTGTACACTTTGGGAATATGCAAATGATAGGCCATAAGTGCCTGTATCCAGATCGCTTACCACTTGCCAATGGCTAACGTACACAGGAAAAACCACCTTTTCTCTATCTATGTTGCGAGGGTTAGACGACGCTAGGCGGCCAGGGATTGCCAATCGTGGTGCTATTGAAGTGGGCACACCGATAGAGAGGCCGAAAAGAAAGAAGTCTGGTGCCACTCCAGACGTTCCTAATTCACTCATAGTAGCTGATGATATGTCAATCTCACTCCCTTGTGAATCCGATTCCGGATGTATGTTGATCTTTGTCAACGAGTGAGAAGACTGCTGAGAGAACCTCGCAGAGAAGACAGCCATAAAATAAACAAGATCCGAGGACTCATGGTTGAGACATGTAGTTTCCTCAAAAAGGAATATTCCTCTTCTCCTCAAAAACTCAGAAGCTGCTAATAGACGGTTCGGGAAATCAAGGTCGCCGGCAAAAGTCGCCGGCTCGGCTCCGTATGCTGCGTGGTACTTGGAAATAACTCTCAGCTGTTCATTCATAGACTTCTCGAGACCACCATGATGGAATATTTCGAAACAAGCCAACCGCAGATAAGCAAATAAAGCCCTTCTACACATATCGGTTGATGGCGGTTGTGAGGATGAGTGATCTTCATCATATTTGTCGTATGAACGATAGAAGTGGTCAAAATGTGTGAAAATATGGTTTCTGGCATAATCCAGCAGAAATGGCAGTTGGGGTGTTTTCCATGCTCTTTCAGGGACCAGAGATCGTAGCATGAAATCCCTTTGCGAAGCGGTCATACTGTCATCCAATGGGGCCATGACAGGAAGCTCTTTATGTAGGATATCAAGACCATTGAATCCCGCACAGAGAATACGTAAATGGCATTCGGCTAGGAAACTCTCTTTCGAACGTGCACCCAGAATGGTCAGGCCTTCTGTTAGGAAGAACTCCCGTACTGATTCGTGGATTACCTGGACTCTGGTACGCGAAGCCCATGGTATTCGTCTGCGCCAGTGTCTTGCAGTGCTCCTGGACCTCGATTCCTTTCGCGAGTCAATAACAACAACCTCGATCAAACCTCCTGAAATGTGGGTCAACTTCTTCTTGAATTGATGCGCGCGATCTGATTCAAGTGTGACGGCGCTGAATGATACCGGAAGATCTGAGACCGTCAGGTACAAGGCTGCGTACAATTCATCTATCGTGAACGCACGAACTCCCCCAAGGATAAGGGAAGCGACTTTACGAAGGTCTTGTCTTTGCTTTTCTTGAAATTGAGGCCTGTTGAAGATTTCGAGGAAAAGCTCCGTCAGGCCGTTTGGGGTATCTGCTAGCAATGCTTCCAGTTCTTCCAAACCACTACCAGCATCATATGCTTTTTTCAACTTGCTGGTGACCAATGAAGCCCACAAAAACGTGCCCTGCGCACGTGAAATGATGGTTTCGCCAATGTCTTGTAGTTTCCTGCTCGACTTCATCGGAAGGATGCTCCAAACGTGTTTCCAGATATCTTTGGTATTGTGGATATTGATTACCAATTCGACTCCGTGAACAGAGGCTAAACTGATGTTTGGGTAGAAACGGCTACTCCAGCATATTTTCAATGTTGTACCGTTCCGCGGGACATCGATCGACCTTTCAAATCGTCTGACAACCTCAAGCACTTCGGTGTATGAGCATTCGTCGAGGGCATCAATCAGAATCTCTATATCTTTTGCTTGATAACTTTCAATCTTTTCATGGAACATATCTGCAATCTCAGATGTTTTCCACTGGATATTGCGGCCGCGAGATTCCTTGAGCAGGTACGATGTCGTTATCTCGCACGACAATACATCACTCTCGAGCATGAGACTCCTCAACAGCGTTCTGTAAAGAGCCTCGCTGGATCTTTCCATACTCGATCCGCGGGCATTGAAAAAGAATCTCAGCAGGATTGTTGAGAGGCCGTCGAGCTCTTCTTGCCGTCTTTTAAAAATGCTCTTCATGAGAACAGATTTCCCGGACCCAGGATGGCCTTTAAAACATCAGCGAACTCGTCATCAAGAGCGAGACAAGTCAAACCTTTGATCCAGAGTAATAATTTCTCATTGGAGATCCACCTCTGGTATTCTAATTCCTCGTAAATCCACAGGCAAGTATGAGTCGCGGGTTGAGGAATGACTTCTTCTCGAGCCATCATAGCATCGAACGCAAGCGACTGGAGACATCTCCCAATAGCCCCTCGGTAAGCATTTCTTATGGTGTGCTCGATACTCCTTCTGCGTTTAATATCTTCTTTATTAGACGCATCCCTTATACTGAAGAGGGTGGCTGCATCGTCTTCCAGATTGAGGATTCTTAGGCATCGCCTCATTGCACTGCGACTCCTTTGCGATTCAGCAAGGCCGACAAGCCTCAGCACCATCTCCATAACATCACGTGGCCGAGTGTCGGAAGATTCAGCAGATGGGGCTGAGTGCTTAGTAAACCCACTTCGAGCTATCAGCTAAATTCTCTGAGCTAAATTTCGCTAGGTTTTACCTAAGCGCCTTAGTCCACCTCCTCAGTTCTCCTACCAAGCTCTGAAACCCGTCATCATCGACGCTGGTAAATTTGACCATGTCACTATGATTCGCGTGAACACTGATAGGCGTATCAGATGCGAATGTAGCTGACTGCTTGGATACAATCTTTCCAATCTTTGTATATCCGACTTCCTCAAAGAAACAGGTCACATTGAGCTTCTTTGCGTCTTTAGGGCCTTCCCGTAAATTGCGTAGCAGAAACAGAAAATCCTCATTAAGGATCTGTAGTAACTCGTCTTTGGTGCGTAATACTCTTAGCAATGAAGTATTGGATGATTTCAGAATTCCCAGGACATCGGCCGGTATCTTCGCCCAATCGGCGATCCAAGACCCAGTATGAGGTGTCCCCATGAAAATGATTCCCGCAGTCATGTTGTACATGTTTTGCAGATGCGCTTCTGGGTTGTTTCTGGACTTTAGAAGAGCCTGCTTGGTTACGAGGCCACCGAGGCTGTGTGCAACGATAATAAGAGGTCTTTCCAATGCCTCGTTCTTCTCGCGATCCATAGTCAGTGTTTGTAAGAACTTATCCGCATGGTCCGTTAGTTGATTGGAGGATGCGTGTCCTTTGCGCACTATGTACGCATCGTAACCGAAGGTAATGATCCTGAACTTGAGGTCCCCCAGCTCAGACGGTAGTAATTTCGGGGGCCATGGCTCCTCTTGTCCTTTGGCTGTCCACGTGGTATCTCGATTGCCTGTCAGACCATGAATGAAACAAATATCGATCTTGGCATCTTTACAGGATACCCATTGTTTGATTCCAGTAGGAAATGATTGCGTAGTTTGATTTGGAGGTTGAGGTTGAGGCTGAGGTTGGGGTTGAGGTTGAGGCTGAGATTGAGGTTGAGGCTCAGGTTGAGGCTGAGATTGAGGTTGAGGCTGAGGTTGAAGTGGAGGTTGAGTCGGCTTTTTCAAAAGCTTGCGGAACAATTTCTTGCATTTGTTCTCGCCAGTAGCAATTTTCGACATTGATTCGGACAAGGCTGAAGAATGGGTTGCTGATATAGGATTTCGCTTCGGTCACTAGAACCTACTTATAGTTGACAATCCTTCTCCTCAGTGTCGCGGTTCTAAAAAGCAACTTCTTTGGGTTGCTCTTCGGGACAGTGCTGTGAAGTTAGGTCAGGCGTTGTGAATAAGGAGGTGCGGGGTTGAAGCTGAACAGCAGCAGTTTAAATCAGGGAAGCTGTGAGGTACTTATCATGCCGAGTGATTAGCGTTATTGGCCACAGGAATTTACGCCACATGACGGCTTGGTAGCTGCAGCTGATATTATACTAGCTTAAACAAGAAGCAATGAGCTATTTATGGGATAATGTAGATTCAACCTAATTTAAGTCTCAAGGCAGAAACTCTCAGTCACGTAGTGAGTTCATAGACTCACCATCTCTCACATTTACTCGAAGAGACCACTCAGACAACAGCTGGAAAGTCTCAGCCTTTCCTCTACTCTCGTAATTATTTGCTCTTACTCCTCGAATGATGCCCTTTCCGTACCAAGAACAAGCCATTTTCCTTGAAACATTGATATCGCTTGACTACCAATTGCATGAGATCTCTCCAGTTGCGTGGCAGATTATACGGTTTGTTTGAAAGGAGCCACACGTACCCTAATCTGAACAAGCGACTTATAGCATATCTTGTGGCCCATATCCTTCCAGATATGATGGGCACTAGCGTTTTCGGTATCGGTGCAGATGCTCTGCTGAAGGTCGCACGAATTGAAGTCCTAGCTCTCTTGTTCAAGACATGGGACTGTATAACTTCTTGGCCATCAAGACCTCGAGCTCGTCTGGGTTCAGCGGTTTGCCAACCCCAGTCGCAGTGAACTGTGGAGTATCGATGAAGGATGTTACAGTAGTAACTGTAGATAGTGTACTAGCTTGGGCACTGACCGCTCTAGCGGCTATGGCGATGAATATTTACTTTCTGCTTGAAAGTGGTTATAGTGACGAGAGTATGAAAAGAATGAGAAGTAAGAGGATAATTAACAATGCAAAAACTGATGTGTAGAAAACTTGGGTCGGTGTCAGTGTGCTAAATTCTCAGACAACAGAAGATGAAAAGTCGTCTAGACGTTTTACTATGAGAACTTGATATCTCACTTACACTGTTCCTACTACAGGTTCGGTCAACAACCAGCACATTAGGGAGATCGATATTACAACGAATTCAATTGTGGATGCATATCATGTGGTCAATTTTCAGCTGTGTCCTAGAATTTCAGCATTAATAGATTGGTTCCCTGGTTTCCCAAAGCTCCAGTCCTGCCGGTAGATCACTGTAACACTAAATCTAAGTATTTTGAGTCGCATGTGTAATTCACGGTTATGCGATAGCTGAGAAAATAAATGCGGCAAATAGGGAGCACGAAAATGGTTACTGTTTGAATCTATAGCTCGAAAGTGCAAACTTCATAACGCAAGGAACAACGTCTAAGAAAGACATGTGGGGCCACTACCGACGTTGGAGGCGGTGGTCAGGAGATAGAGACGACCGCAGAAAGACTGAAGACAAATATGCATATAGATAGCACTTCAGGGAAACTTCTGGATCAGAAGTGGTAAGTAGTTGGACGCAGAAGCTGCGCAGAATGCACTGGCTGGTATTATGATGGATACCAATGATATGGTTCTGAAAACACTTATGGCACTCATTCAAGGATGTCCTACCTTTCCAAATTCTCCACTCGTTTTCTTGACATGTTGAGCAAAGCTTTTCTTACTTACTGCACCATACCAAGTCCAACAGGCTCGGCGGTTTAGAATAGGTACTGCTGCCTTAGTCTATTTTTGTTGAACGAACGGTTCTTGAAGAGATGGCCGTATTGATACAAAGTTCAACGAGCTATACAGTATCAAGAATAGATTTGCAATGCAAAAATCGTGGGTAGAAAAAACAGTGCCGCTGGCAAAGTTGCTTAGGTATCTTTTACTGTCCGTCTCTCCTTAATCTCACTACTATCTTGCCTTTTGCCCTACCAGTCCTCAGCTTCTTGTATGCTTTGGGAACTTGCTCAAACTCATAAACGTCATCTATCGCAGGCACCACTTTGCCATCAGCGACTAGTTTCGCTAAGGCAGTGAAATCTTTGAAATTCGTTAAAGCAAAACCGAAGGAAAATGGCCGTTGCCCGCCGCCGAGCCACGTCGGAACGAGGAAGCGGAACGCAAGGTCGTAGATGAAAGGTAGGCTGACTTGTGACCCAACCTGCACATACTTTGCTCCAGGTCTAGTGAACCATGGCGACTTCCAGTAAAGTTCAAATGAGTGGCCAATATTGTCCAGAATCAGGTCGTATTGTTGCGAGCCGTTTGCAAGGGTTGAGAGGATATCGTTCTTGCGATAATCGATCACTTCATCAGCCCCAAGGTCTTTGCAGAACTGGATGTTCGCATCTGTGTACAGTTAGACTGCTCTTGACATCGAAATGTAGACCATGTATACCCGAACAAGTCGTCGTGACCTGGCAGCCTAGCGCTTTTGCAATCTGGATCGCGAAAGTGCCTGTTCCACCAGATCCACCATTGATCAGGACGCGATCACCCGATTTCACATTTGGTGCAATACACTGATAAGTAACAAGGCCGCAGACGCCAAGTGTCGCAGCCTCGTCTGTCGTTACGCCCTGAGGTATTGGCACAGTACCAGCGTTTGAGCCTATAATATACTCTCCTAAAGTGCCAAATTGCTGTCTGGGCTCCAACTTGCCAAAAACCATTTGCCCAACACTAACATTGCAATCGGGTCCAACCCGCATTACTTTGCCGGCAAAATCCAGCCCAGGCGTGGCGGGCTTTGGGATTGCCATGCGGCCAACGACTGGGAGCTCGGCTAATTTGTAGTCTACTTGGTTGAGAGCAGCGGCGTAAACTTGTATCAAAGACTCTCCGGAAGAGAGTGGCCGATTTTCTGTCGGTAGCGGTGCTGATTCGTTCATGTGTATCGATTCCTCCAGAGTTGTGGTGCAGGCTAACCATTGCCATGCTCTCATGGTGGCGGGTATGCTGTCTGTGTCCACACTGGCCGTTCTTATTTGCGACATTGCCGGCTTCTTCTTCTGATCAGGAAGTCAAATGATGGGAGAACGAGTCAGGGATGCAGCTTTTCCTTTGTGTGCAATATGGGATATATAAGATGTTTACCGCTGGTTCCGAACCAAGACTTTCGGCAATGCCAGTCGGATCCCCACACGGGAAATTGTGAGGTTGTCATCGAACGACTGCTCTCTTTGGATTGACGTGTCAGTGACGGAACAAATGTAATAACCTTTGCAAAGTCACCTTCAGAGGCACCATAGAAGAGGACATGGGAAAAGCGATGCCGCCTCGGTGGAAGGCTTGCAGGATTGCCGAGGCTAGCGCTGGACTTGTGCCGGACGCTCCCTTAGCCAATGCTATTGTTACGCAACAAAAGGCACGGTGGTGGTACAAACCCCACGACTTCATGATGCGCTCATATATAGGCAGTCCAAAGCCAATAACGACTTGACATGACTGTTTGGCCAGCTGAATTCGTCTCCTTGCAGAGATGGACAATGATTGGGGCCGAAAGACTGAGCCGGCACTCTCGCGCTCTTTCCTTGGTGTAATGCAAATTCCAGTTGTCCATGTTCACGAAGCGGGTTGTCATGGTCTGAGAATTTCCAAAAGGGTGGGATCGAGAAGGCGTGGCCTCACTGGCGGCACGGCTGCGTCTCCGGGCATGGCAAGTATTGGCAGCTCCAGACCGGCGTGGACGAGACGAGACGAGATGCAGATCAGGGAGGCGTGATGGGTGTTTCGCGGTTGGCCGAGTAGAGGAGAGTGTAACGGAGAGCGTGTAGCATGAGGCCGACGAAAGACGAGACGAGACGAGACGAGAAGGGTCAGGTGCGCGCGCGGGTGGTCCAAGCTCAGCTGTTATCAAATGATTGCAGCTGTGATGGGGGCGGGCGGCTAGCGCCGCGTCCGTGCGCAGGCTTGACATCAAGCATGCATCCATGGGTGACAACGAAGCTGCACACTTCCTTCACCGTACCGTGCCTGCGCCCACGACGCCTTCTACCGCGCGTCCTGCTCGACCTGAACCTCGCCCTCGTCCTCCCCCCCGCGCGAGCCGTGCCACTCAGTGAGCGACCGTCGACGTCGTTGTGCCACGACCCCGCATTCGACCCGGCTCGCCACCTTGCACGCTACCGAGCTTCGCGCCCCAGGTCAATTGCGCCGTGCCCAGCCTCGACGCTCTGCACGCAGACACTACACCATGGCCTCAAGAAAGAAGGTCCTTCTCAAGGTGCCGCGAGCTCCCCGCAGCCCGTCGCAGCCTGGCTAACGTGCGCAGGTCATTATCCTCGGAGACAGTGGAGTCGGCAAGACGAGCTTGATGAACCAATATGTACGGAACCTCCCCCGCAGTCGACGTCGCTCCTCCCCTCGGGCACAGGCCGCGACGTGGAAATACCAGGCAGGCAGCGCTTATATCAAGTGACTAGGTCAACAAGAAGTTCAGCGCAAGCTACAAGGCGACCATCGGTGCCGATTTCCTGACCAAAGAGGTGCTCGTTGATGACAGGCTGGTGACGATGCAGGTGAGAGTACCTCGGCCGAATGACTCGACGGCCAGCTGACTGGCGACAGCTGTGGGACACGGCCGGCCAAGAGCGCTTCCAATCACTGGGTGTTGCCTTCTACCGGGGCGCCGACTGCTGCGTGCTCGTATACGACGTAAACAACTCGAAGAGTTTCGATACACTGGACAGCTGGAGAGACGAGTTTCTTGTGCAGGCTAGCCCAATGGACCCAGAAAGCTTTCCCTTTGTACGTGCATGTGCAGGAGACTGCAGCACGGCCGTGGCTGACTGGCGCAGGTTGTTATTGGCAACAAGATTGATGTGGAAGAAAGCAAGAGAATGGTGAGCGATATGCGCGGCTGGCATGGCCAAGGCAGGGCTGACCCAAGACGCAGATTTCGTCCAAGCGCGCCATGACCTTCTGCCAATCCAAGGGCGGCATTCCCTACTTCGAGACGAGTGCCAAGGAGGCCATCAACGTGGAGCAAGCTTTTGAAGGTATGTCGGGCACATTCTGGCAGAGCCCGGCTGTCGATGACTGACACCAATAGTGATTGCACGACAAGCGCTTGCACAGGAAGACGTGGGTGATTTCAGCAACGACTTCCCCGAGACCATCCCGATCGACCTCAAGGGCAACGAGGGTGGTTGCGCATGCTAGTGTATGCCGCCACGAAATCAGCATGGCTCATGAGAGGGACAAGTGCATGTGCATGTGCCGCAATGCCGTCGTGCATCTGGAGTTTGTACGGAGTTTGGTGTTTTTGACATGGTTTTCGCCCTCGGAAGCGTCGTCGGTCCCTGGAACATAAGTATTCTTCACGGAGGGGCTTTGATGCCTGCCTCGCCCGCCTCGCCGCATAGCAGTGCCCTGCGTCCAATGCAAATAGTTTGGCAGCCTGAACCGGGCTGCCGATGCCAGCGCCGAGTACCAGTGCAACTGCATATATGTACTTGTGATGGATTGGCTCCGACGGCTGCACACGTGACCATGACGGTGGTGGTGGGGTGGCTGGGGTGGCTGGGGCCGGGCAGCCGTAGTGGCGCAGGGCCGCCACGCCCAATGCGGCTAGCGGCCAAGGGGAGCCCGATAGCCGCCACAGCCACAGGCACCGGCAGACAGGCGCAGGTGAGACATTGCGGGCTAATGAAACCCGCGATTCCCTGGCCATATTACTCACCTTGCCTACCTCAGTCCTCCGCTGTCCGCGTGTCTCGCCCGAGCACCCCGTGCCACCAAAAACCGCTCCCCCTCCTGCTCGTCCCCCTCGCCGGCCAATTGATGGGCTCTCCTATCCCCTTTGATGCCGCGACACGACTCCCAGCCGTGACTCCGCTTATACCCGAAGATCCTCCCTGACGGGCGCAGCCTGCCCGTATATACACACGCACACACACGCACACACGCACACGCACACGCACACGTCGCCTGCACAGCCCGCCGCCATGATCCCTCGACGCGAGGAGCTCGTCGAAGCCACGCCCCTCAGCCCGCGCGTGAGTGACGTCTCTGATGAGAGCGCCTTTATGCGCGGCCAGGACTACCTCGACAGCCCGGCGACCGAGGCCAGTCAGTGGGCAGATGGCAAAGAGAGGGGCGCATGGTCGGGCAAGGTCAGGCACGCCGTGGGCATTGCCCTCTTGATTGCGACTGTGTTTCTGTGGACGGCCAGCAATTTCCTGGCCAGTGTACGTTGTCCCCGGCCCCGACAAGTTGCCCGCCTCCTTGCCACGGCGATGCAGGCTAACGCGCGCGCAGACCATATTTGCCGACAACTCGTACTCCAAGCCCTACTTTGTCACCTACGTAAACACCTCGTTTTTCATCATACCGCTGTTTCCCATGCTCCTGCACCACCTGTGGGTCGACCGCCACCAGCCCGAGACCGCTCGCCAACCCCACCAGCCACTCCTCGCCCGACTGCGCGACCTTTTGCAACGACGAGCCGGAAAATGGTCGCTGTTTCGCCAGAGCGGGTCCCGCTCCTCCTCTCCATCGTCGCATAAGCCCCGAAACGACGAAGCAGCCGAAGTACTGCTTTCGTCCTCGGCCCAAGGATCCCAGAGCTTTGGGGGGGCCAAGGACATCAGGCTGGACATGGATGACGGCTTGACGCTGCTCGACACGGCGCGACTGGCACTCGAATTCTGCGTGCTCTGGTTCCTTGCAAACTACTTTGCAGCTGCTTGTCTAGAGTACACGACCGTCGCCAGCTCTACCATACTGTCTTCCACCTCCAGTATCTGGACCCTCTTGCTCGGCTCGCTCATGCGCGTCGAGCGCTTTACTGTGCTCAAGCTAGTCGGTGTTCTTGCGTCGCTGGGTGGTGTTGCGCTGATATCCATGGTCGACGTATCCGGCGGCACGGACGAAAATCGGGGATCCTTCCCCCACAAGACGCCCCACGAGCTGGCAATAGGCGATGTCATGGCCTTTGTATCCGCCGTTCTTTACGGCTTCTACACCGTCTTCATGAAGGCCAAAATTGGTGATGAGACCAGGGTGAACATGCCTCTCTTCTTCGGCCTCGTTGGCTTGTCCAACGTCTTGCTCCTCTGGCCGGGATTCATTATTCTTCACTTGACTGGATTGGAGACGTTTGAGCTCCCCCCAACCTCGCGCATCCTCAACATTGTCCTCATCAATAGCGCTTCGTCGCTCGTGTCGGACTTTTGCTGGGCTTACGCCATGCTCCTCACGTCTCCGCTCATCGTCACAGTCGGTCTTAGTCTGACGATACCGTGCTCGCTGGTCGGACAGATGGTGCTTGATTCACAGTACGCCAGTGCACTTTATTGGGTTGGTGCTGGCATCATGGTACTGTCGTTCCTCTTTATAAACTATGAAGACAGAAAGGATGAGGAGCAAGGATTGCAAGGTGCTGACGATCCTGTGCGAAGGAGTTTCCAGAGCCTGAGACAAAGCATGAGCCGAAGGAATTCGAGAGCAGACAACGTCTAGGAAATGTAGGGCATCTAGTGGAAGCGGGGCGCTTTCTTTTTGTTGGCATTGCATCGGGGTGGCGAAGGCTTGCATTGGGATTAGGAGCATATATTCGTCTTCACGTGGCACCTGCAAACGATACCAAGTGTTTTTTTACTTTATTTTATTTGTGCTTAGTACGGGGCGCAGTCTTGTAGATTTTCATAGGGTATCATAATGCCATGTAGATCAAGACGGTTTCATCATCATCATCTCAACTATCCTTTTGGCCGCCGTTCATGTTTTTGGAATAGCTGCTCCGCCCATGGTTTGCATTACCTTTGTTCCATTTGCCTTTGCCACCGCCCTTGTAGCTCCGGTCGCGGTCTTGCTCTCTTCGATTCTGCATGCGCTCCTTCTTCTTCGCTTGCCAAGTCTCGTCATCCTCGACCTCTTCTGCCTCCCAGCCCTCCTTTTCCATAAACTCCTCCAGCTGCTTCTGAAGCTGAGGCTCCCATTTCTCGGGATGCTCCATGTCGGCCAGTTCAATGACATTCTTGCCAAGCGAGTAATCACCCTGTCGTGAGCGGACCAAGGAGGACATGAGCCCGAGTGAAGAACAGGCGAGGCCAAGGTCGTGGCAGAGAGAGCGAACGTAGAAGCCAGATGTGACAGTCATGCGGAGGCGCGCCGCTGGAGGTTGCGATGGCGACGACTGCGCAGCAACCTCACACGAGGTCTCGGCTTTTTCGGCAGATGCGTCTTCTGACGGTAGAGCGCCAGACATGACTGGCTCGGCGTCGGATTTGGGTACTTTGGATTGCCTCGCAGCGCCTTGGGCACTATCGCTCTCTGGCGACCGAGAGCGTTTCCGTGCCTTGCGTGCCATGGTACTCGCGTGCATCTTTGCATCCTCTTCCCTGATACCGAGCAGCTTTTTCGCGCCTTCCATTTCAGCGCCATCCACCTCTTCGGCTGGCCAGGAAAAAGCATGGCTGCCCGGCTCGAGCCACTCGACGAGCTCCAGTTCCTCCACCTCGACAGGCCGAGCAGCTACCTCGGGTATCTCCTTGCCTTCTCTTGCGTACTCGTACATTTTCTTGCCATCGACCTTGAGCGCCGAAAAGACGCTCGGCTTCTGCATGATTTTGCCGCGGAACTGCGCCAGCTTCTCTTCGACTAGCTCTCTGGTAACATGATGGTATCCCGCCTTGCTGACCACCTTTCCTACCGCATCGTAGCTGTCCGTGGCAGCGCCAAATAGGACGACGCATTCATATGTCTTTGTGCATTCCAGGAAGCGCTGCAGACATTTTGTGCCCTTTCCCAGCCCGACAATCAAGACACCAGTGGCCATTGGATCCAGAGTACCGCCGTGGCCGAGCTTCACCTTGAGGTTGTTGATGTGCTTTTGCTTCGCATGCGACAAGATCAGCGCCCGTTTCTGACTCTCGAGCCATGACGCAAAGAGCGTGGAGCGGGAAAAGTGGTCTTGCAGGTCGCGCAACACGCCGGCGGACGAGGCCCACTGCGACTTGTTGACGGCGAAGATGCCCTCAATGACCTTGCGGCTATCCTTTGGGCTGGTTTCCATGACTGCGCGCTTGATAGACGACGCGACGGACATGGGGTGGGGTGAAGGTCAAGGGTGGGAGCAGGAGCTCTGCGTGCAGTCGAACCAAGTCCAGTCTTCCGACGCGGTTCCGAAAATGTGCGCCGAGGAGGAAGGCGCGCTAGCTAGCGGGCGACTCAGCTCACATGTTTCTCCCACTCCCGCCTTGTTCATTGACATTCCTTCTGCAGCCTCACAACACGTTGCGACCTGGGCTCACTGCAAGCATCGCGCACAACAACAGAAGCATCGACAGACTCACGACTGTGCGAGTCGCATTTCTCTCGCAGCACGCCGCTGCCCCGCTGGCGCAATGAGCGACTCCAACAAGGATCTCGAGGATCTCGCAAGGTCGACGACGGAAGATTTCTACGAGCTGCTCGGCGTCGCGTTCGATGCCGAAGCAGCCGCTATCAAGAAGGCGTACCGGAAAAGCTCGATACGCTACCATCCCGACAAGAACCCGGACGACAAGAATGCCGCCGACCGCTTCATTGCCCTGGGATGGGCGCGCGACATTCTCATGGACGAAAAGCTCAAAGGCGAATACGATCGCGCACGGGCAAGGCGGCGCGAGAAGGCTCTGCAAGACGAGCTGCTGGATGGGCGCCGGCGCAAGATGAAGGACGATTTGGAGCGGAGAGAGCGCGAAGGCAAGGAGTTTATGAACAGCCTAAAAAGGAAGAGGGCTGAGGACATGAACGAGGCTGAACGGCGCGAGCAGGAAATACAGAGATTGGCCGAGGATGGCAAGAGGCGCAGGAAGGAAGCGCAGGAACGCTTGGAGAAGAGGCGTCAGGAAGAGGAAGAGGCCAGTTTCATGGACGTTGAGAAGAGCCCCGACGCCCAGGCGGCTAGGCCGGGAGAATCTTCTGAGATTGATCGCACAGTCAAGGTGCGGTTCCAAAGAGAGGGCGATAGCATGAGTTGGGACAAGGACAGGCTGGCCAGCATGTTTGCGAGATACGGCAAGGTTGACAGCGTGGTCATGGGCAAGGACAAGAAGATGCGACCTTCTGGGGAAAAGCACCGCAGGGTCATGGCGGTGGCCTTCATCGTCTACACACGTATCGACCACGCACATGCCGCTGTCATGGACGGCAAGTCTGACTATGCTTCTCTCGACTCTGTCAGCTGGGCCAATGGCGAACCCGACGTCAAATCACCCACAAACGGCGATGGATCAACGGCACCCTCGACGCCCAAGACCAAGTCTTTCCGAACGTCGGTGGGCCCAGGACTGGGTAAGGGCGCAGGCGGGACACCGCTCGGAACGCCCAAGTTCTCCTTCAGCCCCAAAACACCAAGCTTGGAAGAAGTGACCATGATGAGGCTGAAGCAAGCGGAAAAGAAGAGATTGGAAGAGCAGATACGAAAGCAGGAGGCTGCTGAAGAGTCTGGCGTATGATGGTGCGTGGCGCGTGGTAATGTGTTGTTTTTGAAGATACCCACGACAAACATGTTGTATATAATGTTGAGCCAGGTGTGCTTGTGTCTACTACAGAGTTTAGTTTGAGAAGTCGAGGCCTAGTAGCGGTCGTAATAGACTGGTACTGTTTGTGGTGGGCTGCAGTCCCTGTACTGTAGTCGCGAATGGATAGGTCTAGATGTAACAAGACATTTGATGCAAGAAGCGTTTTTGGACTGGCTTTCCGGTGACTGTAATGGTCATGTGACGGGCCATGTTGGCTGGACGGAGCACTAACGGGGCGCTTAGTAGGCAGGCGAAACGTTAGTGCAAACCTGGGCGCAGGGCCCAAAATAAGTCGGTGCATGTGCATGCACATGGACGAACAAAGGAACGGACGGTTGGAAGGGCGCCAAGGGGCCAAGTAAGCTTGCTCTGTTCCGGGGACATGGTGTGCAGTTCAGGCAGCCATTAGCGCAGCACGTGTAGTAAATTAGTGTGTTTGAGTGAGTGAGTGAGTGAGCGTGTGTGTAAGAGAGTGAGAGTGTGAGAGTGAGAGAGAGAGAGAAAGAGAAAGAGTTTGGCAAAAGTTATTCGTCCTACCACTAAGCGGCTATCTAGCCTACTACTTAGTAGAAGTCTATATTAGTAGGCTTAGCTACAATATTAGTAGTATTTTATATTACTTACTATAATATAGCTATACTGATGTAAGTTTTAGCATATAAAAATAGCTAGTATATTAATAAAAATTTAGTAGTATTATATAGGTAAAATAAAAGTTATAGAAATAAAAAAGTGAAGCTTAGAAACTAGCTATATTACTTAATTTTTAGTATTTTATATAGCCTAAAAACTAAAAAAAAGGGTTTCTTTTATACTTACTTATATAACTTTTTCTTCTTATTTTCATGATCTCTTTTTCTGTATATTACTTAGATAGCCTTAATTCTTATTTTCTTCTAACGTCAAAGTATAGCGAGTGGCCGAGAATAGCGAGTGACCGAAAATGCCAAGCCCCCATCAACTTTCACTACTACTCGCGATGTCTTAACAAATTCATTCAAAAAAGTCTCTAAAAGAGTCTTAAGTACAGCTTGCAATTCAGGCTATTAAATGCAACGCGACAATTAACATTCCACGCGCTGCAGCTCTCTACAACGTGCCTGAACGTACCCTAAGACGAAGACTCGCAGAAAAGCCTTCTCGACAAGATTGTTCGCCTAACTTAATAAAACTACTTATAATAGAAGAGGAGGTAATTATTAAGAATATTCTTGATCTTGATGCAAGAGGATTTCCGCTGCGCCTTTCTGCTGTCAAAGATCTAGCTAATTCTTTGCTAGCTGCCCGCCACCGCGACCCTATTGGCCCTAACTGGCCTAAAGCATTCATAAAGCGTCGCCTAGAGCTTAAGATAAAGTTTAATTAAAAGTACAACTACAAGAGAGCCCTCTGTGAAGATCCTAAGCTTGTGCAGGGCTAGTTCCGCCTTGTACAGAATACCAAAGCCAAGTATGGGATCCAGGACGACAATATGTACAATTTTGACGAGACGGGCTTTATAATAGGCATGCATAACTCGTTAGCAGTAGTCACAGCCTCTAATTGTTAATTAAAGCTAAAATCTCTGCAGCAGGGCAACAAAGAGTGGGTTACTAGCGTAGTTTGTGTCAGCGCAGCTAGCTAGGCGATCCCACCCTTTATCATCTTTCAGGGCAAGCACCACCTCTCTGCCTAGTACAAGGAAGACAGCCTGCCTAGGGATTAGGTTCTCGTAGTCTCTAAGAATAGCTGGACAATAAACGAGCTTAGTATGAAGTGGCTAGAGCACTATAACAGGCATACAAAAGAGCGTACTGTTGGAGCCTATCGCCTACTCATTCTAGACAGTCATAAGAGCCACAACTTAGTCAACTTCTAGCAATACTGCACAGAAGCAAAGATTGTTACTCTATGTATGCCTCCGCACTCTTCCCATCTACTGCAGCCTCTTGATGTGGGGTGTTTTTCGCCTTTGAAGAGGGCATATGGGCGCTAAGCTGAGGAGCTAATGCGCAATAGGATCAACTATATAACTAAGATAGAGTTCTTGCTAGCCTTCTAGCAAGCCTATTTTCAGACAGTTACAAAGGATAATATCCTAGGAGGGTTTTAAGGCGCTGGATTAGTTCCACACGACCCAGAGGTAGTGACATTAAAGCTAGATGTTAAGCTGCGCACCCCTTCACCACCCGCTGCTAAAAATCTACACTAGCAGTCGCAAACCCCAAGCAACACCCTAGAAATAGGGCTGCAATTAACGCTGGTGAAGCAGAGGATTCAAATGCACCTAGATAGTTCACCAACAAGTATGCTAGGTGCTGTTGAAAACTTAGTTAAAGGTGCGACTACTATTGCGCATGAGTTGGTGTTAGTCAAGAAACGGGTCTCTAAGCTTAAAGCAGCGAATAAAGCCGCCACGCGAAGGAGATCACACAAAAGAAAGCGGCTACAGAAAGGAGAGACTCTAATGATTAAAGAAGGAGAGAAACTAGCAACTCTAAAGGAGTCTAGGGCGCGTGGTAGTGGGAAGAAGGCAAAGAAGGGAGAGAGCGCTGAAGTAGGCGAACCGTCGCAAAGGCGCTATAGACGCTGTGGTGAGACTAGACACAACTCGCGCACCTACAAGCAAGATAAAGAGGTTAATTCTAAATAGATTAGCCTTTTCTAATTTTAATTTACTATTGTTGTTGCGCTGTAATGGTTGCGCAACGGTGGTGAGGTTGATGGGGGCTTGGCATTTTCGGTCACTCGCTATTCTCGGCCACTCGCTATACTTTGACGTTAATGATAATTAAAAGCTTTATTATAGTTAACTAGCTAATATAATTATTATACTACATAGCTATAGCCTTTTTAGTAAGTAGCTAAAAGCTTATATTAAGCTAGATAAAAAACAATCCAAAAAAAGAAAAAGAAGAAAAATAAAAGAAAAATAAAAAAAATAAGTCTAGCTAATACTACTTATAAGAACTAAGTTTAAAAAAGAAGATAAGATTCTATTTAAAAAGCTATCTATATAAAAATAAAACATTTCAAGGAGCTATTTAGAATTATTATAGTTACTATTAAAAGAAAAAAAAGCTAGTTGAATTTATCTTTTTTTTAAGACAAGTAATTAGCTAAAAAGGCCTATAAGGACGTAAGTTACGCTAAATAGAAGTTAAAAGGCTAGTAGTCAAATAGCTAGTAGTAAAGGTAGTTAATAAGCTGGTAAAAAGAGTGCTTAAAAGACCTTTAGTAAAAGAAGTACTAGAAGTAACAGTACTATAAGCAAACTACTTAGTAGTAAAAGTAGTATAGCTAGCCTAAGTAGTATATACTAAATTATAGATATTTTGAAATTTACTAAAAAAGTAACATAAAGCCTTTCAAGAGCTTGAACTACTATTATTTAAACTAGCCTTAGACCCTTTAAGACATATATCCTTTGGTAAATAGTAAGTATAACAACTTAAATTACTAGAAGTAGAAGTCATAATAAGTACGTTAAACTTGATATCTAAAAGCGTCTTATTTTCATTTCTAATAGATAATATATATCTATACTTGACAGTATCGAAAAAAAGCCCTGAATAATAAAAGTAAGATTATTGATAAAATAACTAAGAGTAATAGCAACAAAATAAAAAAAGTAAGTTAATAAGCTTTTAAAGGTTATATTATTTGAAATAGTAAGAGTAGGAAACTCTTTAATAGCACTAATCGCCTTAATACTATATTAATAAATATAAAACTCAAATAAGAAAAAAGTAAGTTAGTAAAAATAAGTTTAAAGTTTAAAAGATAATGAAAAGAAAACAGTAAAGAGTAGAAAAGATTATAATGAAATAAATACTACTATAAACCTCTACTATGGAAATGGTTAGTATATAGACTACTAAGTATTAGATAACTATTTGAATACACTTATATAAAGGCCTAATAAGCGCATCAGTAATTACTCTATATATACTAACTGTAAAAATAATATTTTTATCAGAGACTAAAGAAGATGTCGATTTAAAACCTAATATATAGCTATTAAGATAAAACAAAGAAAAAGCGCTAAAATAGTTATTATAAATATAATACTCAGACGCACTCAATAAAACAAAATACTTACTTATAATTTCAAAGCTATTATGGAGTAAGTTAGAAATGATGATGGTAATTTCAAATGAATAATAATTAAAGAAATAGCGTTATAGAATATAAGCTAAGTAGCTTTTAATACTATATTTTTTAAGTTATAGATTATATAAGTACTGCTAGAAAGCACTACTGAGCTTGGTAGTAATAACCTTATTATAATATATTTGTACAAAGTTTGAAAGAAGTTAAAAAAAGCTTTAAACTAATAAAAAAAGAATAAAGTAGAACTCATACTAAACTAGAATTTTATCTTTTAAGAATATAAAGTTTAAATACTTATATAGTATATACTAAGTTAGGATAGTACCACTAAGTATTACTTTAACGTTTTTAAAAAAGTAGTGTACCTTACTTTCACCTTTAAACCTACCCTAAAACTTATTGAAGGCGTTAGCCTAGTAACTAGTAAGTCTATTGTTAGTTTTATTTTTAGAGCCTTATTTAGAAGATGCAAACTTATGAAAAGTAAGTAATAATAAATATACTCTAAATACTAGCAGCTAATTAATAGTAATACAAGTAGAAGTAGCTTCAAGCTTATTACTTTATAATATATTAGTAGGCTTAAGTAACTTATAAACCTTAATTATAGTACTAGCTAAATATATAAAATCATTCATGATAGTGAAAATGTAACTAGTAGAATAAAAATAATAATGAAGAAATTAGTCGCTAATAGTACAGTCTGACTTAAATAAGTAACTAGTACTAAAGTATAAAAGTAGTGATAAGTAAGAAAGAAAAGCTTATCATATTAAGAATAAAGAAAGAAGCGTAGTTATACTAAGTAAATACCGCTAGCGTTTAACTACTACTTTAAGCCTCTATAACTATCAATAAGTTAAAAAAAAACTAGGCCAGCATATAGGAAACTAAGTAGGCTTTAGTAAAATAGTATTTAAGTATGTTTTAAAA